CCATTTTACATTCCCACCAACAGTGTATAAGTGTTCTAGTCTCTCCACAACCTCTCCAGCATTTATTATTTTGTGTTTTTTGGATTAATGCTAGCCTTCTTGGGTATTACTGAACATTCTGATCAAAGATTCCATAGAAGAATCCTGATCAAAAGGAGGAAAATGCAGAAAAGAATTTCAAATTCTCATGGACTCTAGACATCCTGAAGCCATGGAGGGTGGATGAATCCCTGAAACTATTGCCTTGAGATAATCTTTAAACCTTAAACCAAAAATATCCCTGAAGTCACCTTAAAACCAAACAGTAGTTTAGCTTAACTAGTAAAAAAGTCCTGCCTTGAGCATTATGCTCTTTTAAGAACTATATATGGGACTGAACTGACTACAACTAGAAACGTTAGACAGAAACTTTAACCTTAGGGGGCAATGAGTTTATGTTAATGGGGGAAGAACAAGTCAGAAAAGGAGAGTGAGAATGGTTGCACAACTCAAAGAATGTAATTAATGACACTAAATTGTACATACAGAAATTGCTGAATTGGTATATGTCTTGCTGTGTATATTCTAACAACAACAAAATAAACAAAATTTAGGGGAAAAAAAAAAAGCTAAAGGGACCATTCTCCTTTCAAAAGACATAGTATAATTAGTGGCAAAACAGTGCTCCTACAGAGAACATTCAGAAAAGCCAGGAAAAATACAGAAATTATCTTTTTGACGGCATCAGGGAGTTGTTAAGACAACAAGAACGGGAAGGTTTTGCTAAAACTCCAGAAGGAGAGAAAGAATCTCACAAAGGTGAGCTATCTCCTGCAGCTGTTTTTTGTACCTTGGGTACATTTGCTGGCTCTAGGGGCGGGCAACGGGCTGAGATTCCCAGCTTTGCACGAGCAGAAGGCTGCTGCTAGGGGTCAAAGAAACCAACAGAACTGTTGGCAGAGACAGACTTTAGTTCTAAATGTAAAAGAAAAAAAAATTAAAGAAAACATAAGAGTAGTATATTGATCTTGCAAGAGGCAAAGATTTCTTAAACAGGATACAGACAGTACATAAAAATTTAAAAGTTCTGTTCAACAACATAGAATTAAGAAAGTGGAAAGGCAAGTCACAGAGCAAGGTGGATATGTACAATACACATATTATTCAACAAAGGAGTTATAAAGAATGCTATAAATCAATAAGAGAAAGGTAGATTATCACTAACCACCCACAAGAATAGCTAAAATAAAAGAGGTAATACCAAGTTTGGTAAGGATGTGAAGCATCTGGAATTCTCATACATTGCTGGTGGAAATGTAAATTGGTACACTTAAATTCCACTCCTACCTAATACTTCCAGCTGAAATGGGTACATCTGTTCAAAGGACATGTACAAGAATGTTCACTGAAGCATTACGTATAGTAGTCAAAATCCAGAAACAACCCAAGTATGTCCATTAACAGTAGAATGTATGCACGAATGGTGGTATTTCATATGACAGAAAAACTATACATTAGTAAGAATGAACAGACTACAACTACACAAACAACATGGGTGAATCTCAGAACCATAATGTTGAGTGAAAGAAACCAGACACAAAAAAGCCTAAAAAGTTTACAGTGAAAAAAAGGCCAAGAGTATCAATTCAGTTGAGAGGAAGGAGTTACATATACTAAAGACAGGATGAGGCATGACAACAGATCAGAAATGGGCAAATGTGACACTGCCCTTCTAGACTATCAGGACACCCACAATGTCAACTGGCCCTTGCTTTGTCCATCACAGAAAGAATTCCGCTCACCCAGCCTCCCAGGAGGGAGGTTAAAGGGTCTTTTAGAGGAATCTGACTGCTCCTCTTATCTGCTGGCTTAATTACTAGGTAGACGACCCCAGGGTGTATAATCAAGGAATAGCATGCAAATGTAAGAGACCCAAGGTCCTAATCAAGGTATGAGGCTGGAGAGAAGGGTAACATTGAACCCAGGGTTAAGAAAACTTCTGCGAGGAAGCACTGCCTTCCCCAAATGTGTACTATATTCCTGAAGTAAGCCAAAACATTTGATTCTTCCTTTAATGGAGAGAACCAGAAACATGGATAAATCACTCAACGCAGTTCTCCTAATAATCTTCCTTACCTTCCACCTAAGGCTACTGATTTAGAGCCCAAGAGAGATAAGGTTTAGAGATCATCTAACCTTCCTCCATAAGTAATTACTGATTGTCGTGTTAGTGGAAGATTCTACCTTTGGTGTATATATGAAGAGGAAAGAAGGTTTCAGAGCAGAATCAGATCACTCCATGCTCAAAATAACATCCAGCAAGGCAGTAATTAATAAGAGGACTGATAAACTAATTTCTAGAGGAATCCAGAAAGAGGCGAGTTCATCTTCCAGGTAGGATGACCAGAGAAAGTTTCAAGGAATAAGGAGCATTTAATCTGGGGTCATGAAGATGGAGAGAATTTTAAGGGCAAGTTGGAGGATAAGAAGAAGACTACTAAGATATTCCAGGTAAAGGCAAAATGAGCAAAACCAGATTGGAAAGCACAGACAAGAAATGAGCATTTAGAGTATCTACTACCTGCCAGGTACTGGGCTAGATGCTGCTTTTTATATAATTAATTAATAAGATTAGTAGATTAGGTAACTTGCCTAAAGCCAGTAGACTAGCATAGCCAGGACTGAAATTCTGTTAGGGCTAATTCCAGAGCCAGTGATAGTTCCACTATATTGTGGCTTACGGCTAAACAAAGGGAATGGTGCAAGACAAAGTTAAAAAGGCTAAATTAAGATCCAAACCCAACCTACTGCCATCAAAGTGATTCTGACTCATAGCGACCCTACAGGACAGAGTAGAACTGCCCCATAGTTCGAACCCACCAGTGGCTCTGAGGGAGAAAACACCTGGCTATCTGCTCCCATAAAGATTATAGCCTAGAAAACCCTATGGAACAGTCCTAGTCTGTCCTTTAGGGTCACTATGAATAGGAATTAACTCGACAGCAAACAACAAGACAAAATGACAAAGATAAATAAAGAGAGATAGGAGAAAACATCAAGACATCAAGGGAAGAGGAGAAGTGAGAAAGGTCACTAGTGACTCTGCAGAGGAGGTTTAGGAGAGAGGTAGAGACAAGACAGACGAAAGAGGCTGAGTGAGTAGCTGGTAAGGAAGTGGGAATAGAGAATGTAGAGAACTCATTCAAAAAGTCTGATTAAAAAAAGGACAATAGGAAGACAAAAGTTAAAGAAGATGGCATTATGGTAATGTACTCTAGGATGGGGAATCTGAAGATGCTTGAGGGCTGAAGGGTATCAAGTCCCATAGGCAGCAGGGTGGGATGGGAACAAGAGCACAGGGGATTCACCAAAGTAAGACAAAGGAAAGACCTCTTCCTTTGAGGCAGGAGAAATGGAAAGGGAAAATGGGGTACAGAGAGGTTTGTAGTCATCCTTATTCTAAAAAAAAAAGACTGGGAGAGAGAGAACTTCTCAAAAAGTCCACGCAAGGGAACATGAGCAGAACCACCACAATGTCCTGACAGACAACACACTCCTAAGAACAGGAATGTGATCTAACCCATCCCTATAGCTGGCCCACCTTAGCCTGGCAAAGAGATCAGCGCATGGAGGACCCTGGAAAATGTTTTTAAGAGGGGGTGTAAACAGGTAAGCAGTCTCTGATGACACAAATGGCTCACATAGGCTGATATTCCTCCTATAAGAGGAACACTAACATTCAGGAACAGTTGTGGCCAGACCCATGAATCCACACAGTCTTTCCCCGAAGCTTCCCGGGAGCTGCCCTGCGAAGAGTCCCATCAACATTATTACTGTCCCAAAAGAACTGTACCATACACTGGTGTCTTCCCTGGCAGGATGACGATAATGAGCTGCAGCCCTGAGTAGGTATTCTTGAGATGCCGGAACATGGGCTCCACGCTGTCTGCCCCCTGTGCATATTTGCAGAAGCAAGGCTGGCCCTGGATGGGCATCCCTGCATCCTTGGAAATCTTCCGCAGCTGGTCTGTGAAGTTCCTGAAGCACAAGTATGGTCATGACAGGAGGCAGTTAGGCCCACTTTAATACCTCTGACCAAAAAGCTCTATATTAGATGCCAGTACTATGAGAGGCCGCGAGGAATTCTAAGATAACTGAGACACAAGTACACCTAGTGGGAAAAAAAAAACCCACATATATAGTTGAGTAGGACAAGATGGAGCTTGCTAAGTGCTCAATGGTACTAGCACAGAGCTGGGGGAGGCCAGAGAAGGGACCTGTGAAAATTCTCAGGGTCCCCACCTTGTCCCACGCAAGCAGCTGATTCCTGTGCTCTATTATATGGCCTTAGCAATACACAGATGCCCAAGAGGTAGGCCTCTCTGCTCAAAATAAGTGAGATTCCTACAGTGATGAGAACACAGGGGATGTTAAAAATGAGCCTCATTCCTCTCCCACTGGTTCTCTGAAGCCTGAGAGCCAATCGCTAAACAAGCTTCTTTCCTTTGGCTTTAGGGCTTTACCCTAAGAAAGAAGACAAAGCTGGAAGAGAGGGTGCATATGCAGTAGATAAAACAACAACAAACTATATAAACATACTGACAGGTAAAACTAACAGACTGAAATGAGCAACAGGAAATTTAATTTGTGAAAATCTTGCATTTAGATTAAAAGCAATAGCGTACAAATAGTGAACGGAAGCAATTATTTAGGGGATGAGGGCAACAGGTTTGGTTTTTATTATATAGTATACAAATATCACTATGATAGATTAAAAAACATTCAGTGAAAAACTCAAGGACAAACACAGTATACTATATGTAAAATTCAAAATCATTTATATACATATATGCATGGAAGGTTATAATATTATGTGACAGTGGTTGCATTAGAAGGGAGAAAAAGGACTAGGATGGAGGAGACAAAAGAACTTCAAATTTACAGAAGAGCAAAGTATCAACAAGTATTTTAAAGCATAGGTGAGAAGGGTGGCGGTAGGAAGATTAAGTAAATGAAAGTGAAACAACCAGAACAAAAATAATGAGAATGTATATACAATGTGAAGAATGTAACCAATGTCACTGATAATTATGTCTAGAAACTGTGGAATGGGAACGGGATTTGCTGTGTTTATTTTCACCAAAAAATAAATTAAATTTAAAAAAAACAAAAAACAAAAACACACTCACTAGACCACAGTCACTTCTTCACAAGGGCTTTTTCTCCACAACTGTGAAGATCTACATTTAAAATTCGGCAAACAAGCATAAAAACATGTCCCTGATACTCAATCAGCCTGTGAAGGTCCTGCTTTTGTCAGTTACAATTTCAAAAAAACAAATATATTTTTTATAATCTATCTTATTATTTACTTCACATGTTATCAAAAAGGAGATACTTCTTTTTCAAAGAAATCATTTTTGTTCTCTTCAAAGAAAAGTCATGATTTCATAGTATATGTGTCTTTTGGGGAATCAGGGTTTGAGGAGCGAGAGTGAAAAACTGGGAGATGTGGAATGATGTGAGGGTGGGGCATTAAATTACACTGAAGTGAATATAAAAAAGAACTTCAAGTTTATCTGTAACATTTTATTTACTTTTTTTATTAAAAAAAAGGATAAAACAAACATGACAAAACTGTGGATGGCGGATACATGGGTGTTTGTTGTATTATTCTCTTTTTTTTAATTTAAAATTTTTTTCAAAATAAATGTTACAATAAAAAAGATACAGTCTAGCCATTGCTTAATGTAAACAAGAGCTAGGACTTTGGTGGGCTACTAACAGTAGCTCTTCCGTTTCTTTGCCTTGTATACATACAACTGTAATGTAGCTACTAAAAAAGCCAATGTGTTAGCAGATTCCATTAATAGTGGGTCTCCACTACAAGGAAAGTGGCATTCCCAATGTTCTCTCTACTGCTAGATACACTCGGGCTATTGTGACCAGTGCAGGGTTTCACGAAATGTGCTGAGAGATGCCTAGGATGGGGAAGGTCTCGAAATCCTGTCCTAAAAGTGACATAGCTGAAGTCATGGGGCCTCTTTAACTAAAAGAAAAATTCTGAGGGTTGAACCTAGGACTCTCTCATCTATCCCCAACTACCAATTTCTCCAATTCCACAGCCACCTTCCTCTCTTTCCCCTCTGTCTCAGTGGAAAGATGCCGCTCCCCTGTGCTCTGGATCCCATACCCTCATACACACTTAGGGACTTTGCTCTATCTACTTGCTAGGTTTTCTGGGTTCTATTTTCAGCCACCTGCTTACTATGTACATTTTCCCTGGACAATCTCATCCACTTCCATGCCTGAGGATTCCTCAACCTTCATGTTTACCCCAAAACCACACATCCAACCAGGCACCACCAACCCAGCTACACAAGCTACATTCTTCTCCACTACACTTAGGGGTCCCTGGGAGAAGGGGGTGTCTGACGAACCAAACCTTTCCAACTATGAGAATCTAAGTTTATCAGTTCCTATACCCTAAAACGTCCAAAACAAGTAGTTTGTGTCCCAAAAGAAACAGACGGGAAAGACACGGGAGTAAGAAGGAAGCATGCAGAGAAACTACACTTGTGATGGTAGTGGTTGTGTATCTGTGAAGGGAGTAGGAAATAGGTGGGAGCAGGGCAGCCAGAGTCCCCACATCCCTCAGGGGCTGCTGGAACTAATTCTTACAAAAACCCCATGGCCAGCTGAATCCACCAGGCATGTTATCTCTATTGTCCTCGTCACTACCCAAAGTGATCAGCTCCACTGACTCTTCCTCATCCTCAACAAAATGCTCTGACCCCATTTCAGATCCAGAGAATAAGAAGCCACCACTTCAAAAGACTGCAGGAACCACTGACCTGCATACTTTAAACGGGTGAATTTTGTGGTATTTAAAATATATCTTAATAAAAGTTGTTAAAAAGAAAAAAACTACAGGGAAAGGGTCAATGACTGCTTTACTTACTCAGTAACTCAATATTGTTACCCCCTAAATCTGTTTCTTTAAGTCATTTGGCTATATTGCCTTTCTCACTGCTGTCACCTACACCTAGTCCCTTAGCCACAGGTGGCTCAAAGGCCCTTACAACTCTTGTTCACCTAATTCAGGTCACTTGGACCTTTCTGAAAAAATTCCACATGCAGGAGAGGACAGCTCAGAGGACCAGCTAAACAAGCTGCTTTTTGTTTCCAATTAGGAATACAAGCTTTGAAGGTTCAGATCTGATCTGATTTGATTCCAACTTTGACACTTTCTTAATATGCAAACTTCAATAAGTTACTTAACCTCTTTGAACCTCAGTCTCCTGAAAACGGAAATATCGCCACCTACTCACTGTGAAGATGAAATGAGAGAACATAAATTAGGTAATTAGTACAATGTCGGCATAAACATCATAGTCACCACTACTGCTATTTACTACACCAACCATTATAACAATAAAATAATTCAGGCCTCCCTTAGAGATTCATGTCCTGAAATCATTGTCTGACACAGATATGGCAGCTTATCAAGACTCCTGACTACAGATGAACAGAAAAAGGACAGGAAGATGTTTGAGCCAAAAAGTGCAAGGGAAGCAGAAATTCAAGACTCAAAAGGAACAAATTACAGATCAAATCTTAGCACTTGGAGGTGGGAGGAGGTAAGGCAATTCTAGGGTTCTTCCCACCCTTCCACCCATACCGCCAGCCCTCCTTACTTGAGCACCTCTTCTCGACACTGTTTTTGGGGTGCGAAGCAGGCGATGGCCCAGACTTTTATCTCAATCCCATTGTAGAACTGTTTCCCCCGCATGTCCCAGACACCCTGATTGGGTGTGGCAATGGCCCGGTTCTGAGGATAGCAGAGGGGGCGCCCAGGTGAGCCTCAGTAGAGCCAGGTGGGTAGGGGACCAAAAGCCCCTGCTATACACCCGAACCTCCCCATATACCCCAGAGATGTTGTCTGGCCCTGACCCTGCTCACCCGGCCGCCGTACTGCAAGATGGGCGCCGGCAGCACTCGCCCTGTCACCTCCGTCATGTCATCCTTCACTTTGATCCCAAATTCCTGGATGTAAGGATCTAAGTTGTAGCTGGCATTCTTCATCTGCAGAGCAAAAGAAGGGGATCTCATGAGAGCAGCAGTTTGACAATACTACTCACGCCCTGGGTCCCAAGGAGAGAGTTTTGAAGAGAGGCTGTGGGTGGCAAGGAATAGCCCTGGAAAAAAGGGGGAAGAAGATCAGGGAGAGTGGGAGTGGATAACACAAGGAGATAATACAGGAAGGAAAAAGAGGAAGTAAAGTAGCTACAGGATCAAGAAGCAAGAGCAGCCCTGTGGAATCCCAGGCACAAAATCCAGAAGAGCATCTATGCTACCGGGGTCCCCACTGACTGAGCAACTGAGCATGCATTTCTCTGCAGCCCCACTGACCAGGCGGCTGATCTCTTCCTGTCTGTCTGGCGCCGACCTGGCTGTAGCCTTTATCATAGTTGAAGTCTGGTTATCAGTCAGCTTCTTGATGCAGCGCTGCCCAGCCACAATGTTACAGACCTGAGGAAACAAGGACAGGTAGCTCTGGCTTGAGTGCAGTCCACCCTGTACCCAGAGCCCCACAGTAAGAGAAGAGGCTTTGGCTGTCAGTCCTGGGGAAGGGGACTGCAAAATTCCTCGTGTATACATATATTCTCCTCTTCAATTTTACTTGGTAAGTATGTTAGAAAACATCCATGCACAATACAAAAGGCAGTACAATCACTTCATGATTAAGAGTTTGGGATCCAGAGCCAGATCTGGGCTCACATTCTGCCACAGCCACTCAACAGTTATGTGACTTTGAGCAAGTTACTTAGTGTTTCTCAGCCTCAGGCCTCATAGGTTAAATGGGGAGAATAGTAACAATCTCATAGGGTTGTCTGGAGATTAAAAAAAAATAAAAGCATTTAAAGGGCTGAGTACAGTTCTGGGATATGATAAACACTCAATAAATTGTAGCATATATTACTATTCACCAAAGGAGCCCAGTACAGAGCTCTTCCAAATACTAAAAAACTCAATATACACAACTGGATTCCTAAGGTAGTGGGCAGTTCTCCATTGGTGGCTACATCCTGCACCCCACCAGGAGGACTAAGGATGGTTCTAAACTCTGGAGCCTAGCCTACAGAAATCACTGCCTCTGCTGGCCTGATATCTGCGTGAGGAACATTCCGCCTCTCAGTTCCACTCTTCCAAGTGCAACAGAACACTATGGAGATTAAAAAGGCTTTCTAGTGATGTATAAGACTTCCATTCTCCAATATACTGTATTCAGGATGTCATGAATAAGAAACCCTGAGGCAGAGTAGAAAAGACCAATAGATTTGGAAGACTTGTGTTCGAGGCCCCGTTTTGTCATTTCTAGGTGATTTTACTTTGGGCAAGTCCCTTAGCCACTTGGAGACTCTGCTTCTTTTATCTCTAACCTGGGAAAACACTATCTCATGAGGCTGCTGAGAAGATTTAGTAAAAACGAAACGTGTAACTTGCTCCCATAGGGCCAATATTCTATATGTACTGGTTCCCTTCCTAATTCCCAGAGTTCATGCTGAACGATACACTTGTCCTGGAGGGGAAACCAGGACAAGTCACCTGTCTTTAACTCTGTACTCCAAAGAATATGCAAAACAGTCAATTGACTTAATGAAAATCCAGAGTTGTTAAAATTTGTGAGGTTGCGCTCTTGAAGACACCCTTGAAGTTGTAGCACTCTCTACAGATGATTTCACCCATAGAATCAACACTAGTAAAAGACTGAAGCAGGAGGAACCATCAGGAAATGAATGAATTCTGCTGACACTCTCACTGGTCTCGATGCCTATTTAAGGAAGACATAAAACCTGGACTGGGGGCACTGGCTAGTTCTGGTTTCCAGCTATATGGATTCAAATGATCCTTATTGTTCTTCTACTCAAAATCCTCTAATGGGCTCCTAAAGCCCTGGTGGTGCAGTGGTTGAGAGCTTGGCTGCTAACCAAAGGTAGACAGTTTGAATCTACCAGCCACTCTTTGGAAACCCTATGAGGCAGTTCTATTCTGTCCTAAAGGGTTGCTATGAGTTAGAATCGACTCCACAGGAATGGCCTCCTATTACAATCAGAACAAAATTCCACCTCACTGTTTCTGGGTGGACTCAAACTCCCAGCCTTTCAGTTAGCAGCCAAGTGTGTTAACTGTACTACCCAGGGACTCTGTACCTCAAAACATACTCTGGCACGGATGAGCCTTAAAAACATACTAATGAAAGAAGTCAGTCACAAAGGACCACATATTGTATGATTCCACTTATATGAAATGTCCAGAACAGAGAAATTAATAGAGATAGAAAGAATACTGATTTCCAGAGCTGGAGGGGGACAGGGCAATGGGGGAGGAATAGGAATTGACAGCTAATGGGTATGGGTTTCTTTTAGAGGGGGACAAAAATGTTCTAGAATTAGATTGTGGTGATGGTTGCCAAAACCCTGTGAATATACTAAAAACATTTAATTGTACACCTTAAATAGGTAAACTGTATGGGTTATGAATTATATCTCAATAAAGTTGTTTCAAAAAATACTCTGGGAAATCTTTTTTTTTTTTTTTTTTTTTAAATAAATAGGTATTTGCTAACTCTAAAATAAAAAATCCCACCTCATCAGAAATTGGGAACGCTCATACATTGCTGATGATTGTAAAATGGTGCACCCACTTTGGGAAACAGCCTGGCAGTTCCCCAAAATGTTAAACATAGAGTTACCATATGACCCCACTCTTAGGTATATATCCAAGAGAAATGAAAACACATATGGCCACACAAAAACTTAAATACGCAGTCCATATCAGCACTATTCATAACAGGCAAAAAGTGAAAACAACCTCACACACCCACCAACTGATGAATGGACAAATAAAATGTGATATATTTATATAATGGAATATTACTGGGCAATAAAAAGGAACGAAGGACTGATAACATGCCACGATATGAACCTTAAAAACATTATGTGAAGTGAAAGAAGCCAGTTACAAAGGGCCACATATTGTATGATTACATTTATATGAAATGTCCAGAATAGGCAAATCCACAGAGATACAAAATAAATTAGTTACCAGAGGCTAAGAGGAAGGAGTACGGGAGTGACTGCTAATGGGCACCGATTTCTTCTGGAGGTGATCAAAATGTTCAAATTAGGTAGTTGTGATGACTGCACAACACTGTGAATGCACTAATAGTCAATGAATTGTATATACTTTAAAATGGTGAATTTTATGGTATGTGAATTTCAAAAAAGTTATTCTTGAAAAAAAAATCCCACCTGGCCATATCCTGTAGGACTTGACCCTGCAACTCTCCCCCACATTGTCTTCTACTACTTTTCCCTTTATACACTACATGCCCTCCAACATGGCCTTCTGTCATTCCTCAAAAAAGCTCCAAGCTCACTTGCTGTTTCAGGGCCTTTGTACCTGCTACTTCCTCTGCCTTGCAAGGTTTTTCCCTCAGGTTATTACAAAGCTGGTTCTATCATAATTTAGGACTCAACTTAAATGTCTTCTAAAATAGGCTTTCCCTGACCACCATAATTAAAGTAGCTCTCCACTCCCCTTCACTCTCACTTCTATCCCCTTAACCTGTTTCTTATTGTTATTGTTATGGATCTTATTATTGTTATGAATTGAATCATCCCCCAAAAAGACATGCTGAAGTCCTAACACCCAGCACCTGTCAACATGGCCTTGTTTGAAAAAAGGGGTATTTGAAGATGTCATCGGTTAACATGAGGTCATACTGGAGTAGGGTAGGTCCTAATCCAGTATGAACGGTATCTTTATAAAAGAGGGGAAGAGACAGAGAGGGACACATAGGGAAGAACACTGTGAGGATGGAGGTAGAGATCGCTGCAGCCACAAGCCAAAGGAACACCTGGGGCTACCGGAAGCTGGGCCTTAAGAGAGAGCATCGTCCTGCCAACACCCTGAATTCAGCCTGCTAGCCTCCAGCACTGTGTGACAATACGTTTCTGCTCTTATAAGCCACTCAGTTTATGATATTTTGTTATAGCAGTCCTAGGAAACTAATAGAATTATCCTCATAGCACTTACCACTATCTGAAGCTATGTTATATAGCTATCAATTTATTGTCTATCTTCCCCTTTTAGACTGTAAGCTCCATGACAGCAGGGACCTTGTCTATCTTGTTAACCTCTATATTCCTGGCACCTAGAAGGTATGTGATACACACAGTAGGAGCTCAACAAATATTTGTTAAATAAACAAACAGTAAAAATTAAGATAGAACTAATTACATAAATTACTCACGTTGGGAACTACTGTTTAAACAGAAGTAATGTTAATTTGCTAGCAAATCTCAGCTTGCAGTAGATACTACCTAAAGCCTATCTACTTAGCTGGAATTGTCGCTACAGAGTTCTGTTTATACCTTAGAGAACATACTGCCTTCATCCCACTTTCTGCGCATCAACAGCTATTCACCAAATCCAAGTTTTTGGATTTTGAGATCTCCTCTCCCCTTAACCTAATTCCCTCTGCTTAGTTCTGAAATCCTAGAAGCTCACAGAAGGTTTGCGCTTTAGTCCCAGCTACCTGACTCCTATGCTAGAACAGAGTAGTCTAGGTCAGTGCCTCTCAAACTTTAATGTGCTTATGAATCCCCTTTTGGGTCCTATTAAAATACAGATTCATACTCAGTAGGTCTGAATGGAGCCTGAAATTCTGCATTTCTAATACCCTCCCAGATGAGGCTGATGTAACTGGTCCACTGGCCACACTGGACTGGACAATGAGGCATTTAGTGGTAGTTTCTCATTAAACATTTTGGTTAGTGTATACCAAACCAAACACAGCCCAATGATTCTGCATTTGTATTCAATGACTTAAATAGCATGATTATTCTTTCTTTATTGCAGGATTTCAAAGGTCTGCTTAAGTATAAAAGTATGACAATCTTAGGGCTAAAATTTTTTCAAAAAGAACACATTGAATCATTGGGGAAACAGGATTTACATCATAGGTAACATTCATTTCCATTTTCTGTAGAATAAAGTACACCTGTATCTCCAATTCATTTGGGATCCCCAGCTCCACAGATAGCAGGGAAAGAAGAATTAAGAGAAAAACATGAGCGTGAGTATCTGAAATCTCTGTCCTGGGCAAATTAATTACTTATTAAACAGTAAATACAGTTTGCGCCTCTGTCTCGCAGCCCTGAAAGGAGAACACGAGAGAACAGGACGGAGGCTAAGAAGAGAATATTTCACAGGAGAACTACCTTGTATTGCTCAAAATATCAATTTTCCAAACTTCAAAATGGGTATGAGGCTACAAATGGAAGAACAGACCTCTGATGATCAGTGCAGGTACAATACCCGTTCCCCAAATAACTTGGCAGCCTTACCTCTAGGGGCAGGTAGGTATGCTTTTGTTCCTGGCCAACTTGCAGGCAGGGCAGATGGGGATACTTGAGCTGAAGGTTATATTTCTGCTTGAAATACTGTGCCACTGTGCACTCCACAGTCTGTCCACTCTCCAGCTGCAAGGGAAACCTGTTTGGGGGAAGGGAAGGAGGTATCACAGCCCAGCATTCAATCCCACCTCTCTAGACACACAGCCATGGGAAGCCCTGGACTTTGTCTCATCCCTACCCACCCTCTTCTCTGAGCACTGCCACTCATGGGAAAGCAGGCAATATGGAGCTCCCAGGGAAAAGCCAAAGATTTGAGAGGCAAGTTCCACAAAGGTCAGGACCATGTCTAACTCATCTATATTTCTAGGGTCCAGTATAAAGCCTGACATAGAGTAAGCATTCATAGTCTAGTATAGTCTGAGGTCAAGAAGAGGAATGGAATCAGTGACAGCTTCTCCAACGTCAAGCCCAGGGACCTAGATTTCTTTTTCAAGAGGAAGAATAAATTGAGAAAGATTGTAACACTTACAGAATCAGAACAGGAACAAAGGTAATATGCCTGTTCTACAGTAAAGGCCCAAGGAGAGAAGGTGGAGACCAAGAAGGTAAAAATGGTAGAGAAAGTATTAATGGATTTAGGAAGGTTGGGGGAGGGAGGTCAAATTACCACGGCTTATCTTCAAAGACAGAGGCAGTCCAACGCTCATTCTCAGGGCCAGTGGGGGAGGGAATGAGGAAGGAGGGGAGTGTGTTTGAAATCTCAGCCCTCTTCCACGAACAGAGTATGGCTTAGCAGCCCTGCCAACTTACGTCTGATGGCTAGCAGGGCGGCGGGTAACATTACACACACGGTATTTCCTCTTCATCTGTCCACAGTGGGTCACTTCCACCTTTAGGCCTGGGATACAAACACTTTGTGTCAGGGTTGGAATAGGTTGCTCATGTGCCCAAGCTTGGCCTCTTCCTTGAACATATCCTAACGGGATTTCCTCTTAGGTCTGAAGAGAAAGTCGCACTGTTTCCCTTCCCCGCCTGGTCCTCACCCTTGATCTCCTTGGTGAAGCGAACACGCTGAGAGTCCGTGAGGGGCTTGGGCTGCTCATCTATGTTCCTGATGTCCAACACCTCACACATGAACTCAATCACCGGCTGCGCCTTGTAGAAGGCAGTAGCTGAGACTGTGGGGACAGGGCAGGAATAGCTCAGCTTTCTGTCTTCCAGGATAAACGGAGGCACTGCTCTTAACACCCTCTTCCTTGTAGGGCAGTGGGATAGGGGAGGCCCCAGGGCTGTAGGGATTAGACTAGGAGTGTGGTTGCAGAACTGGGAGGGACACGCTGGGAATGTGGTCACTAGGCTCGGGGTGCCCCTGGCTCCATAGCTCTCCCTACTCACCATCAATGTTGAGCATCATCTTCCACATAGCAGGGCGCACAGACTGGTGAAAGCCGAACCAGACCTCGCGCCCACCCCCCAGCGGGTGGTAGTAGCCCTCAGGCGGTGAGAAGAAGGAGCGGCCCACAGGGGTGTACCTGGCAGGGACAGGCAGAGAACTGGTCCCTCGGGCACAGGCCCCCACCCTGTGAGGCATCCTGGGCACGGAGGAGCCCTGGCCTGGAAGGCAGGACACCAGGGCTTTAATTCCAGCTCTAATCCTTTACTAGCTGTGTGACCTTGTGCAAGTCTCTACCCTTTCTCTGCCTTGCAGGAACAGATAAGGTAATGCCCAAAGAGATCAAAGAGGGACAGGGCCAGGGCTTTAACCCATCTAAATGTATGTGCACACTTGGCCTGGCACACGGTAGGGCTTAAAAAAATTCTTTTTGAAAGGCACACAGTGAGACCTTACTATGTACTCATTCCCCTCCTCCCCCTACAGCAGTTCTGCCACCACTTGTAACCCAGATACTACCTATACCCAGTACCTCATGGATGCTAGGTGCCTCATGGCCACATCCAATGCTTGCACGGACTCCAGGGGAACAGGGATCTGACCGCTGACCAGGGCCTCATGCAGCATACGCCAGCTTACAATGGCCAGCCACTTGATGGAGACCTTAAAAATTCGATCTTTCCCTTCACCAGGGATTGTCACCTCAAAGTCCACCTTCAGGAAGGTGAGAGAAAGGGATGAAGGACTGTCATTTCTTTCCCACAGTCTGGCATTCCCTGCCCTACCCAAATGCCTCCCATTCTATGGATTTGCAAAGAATCCGCTCCTTGGTCTGAGAGGGGTCCCAATGAGGACCCCAGAGTAAATCCAGCCCCTTAGTCTCCAGACATCATCACATGCTAGGTGCTCATGAAAGGAGGCCCTGTCCTCAGTCTCCTTGGCTCACTGCTTCTGTCCCTTTCAACCACGCCTGGCAGAAGTCCTTCAGGTCTATTTTTAATTCAAATCTCAGTCTGCTTGGGACGGGGCTAGACACACAGTAGGATAAATAAACTCCAGCACCTACCTACCCCTCACCCTAAAACATACTTTCTCTGCACAAATGGACCGCCACACTCTAAATAGGCTTACATGAGCTCTGTCCCACCTCAGGTCCCTGACACAGGCCTAGCATAATTTCAACCTTACCCGTTCGTTGCCAATGGGCAGTGCTGTGACAGTGTAAATGTTCTTCTTTCCATCATACACGGGCTTGCGATCACCAAAGATCTGAGGCTTGAAATGCTGGACCATGTATTCCACCACTTCCCTGTGGGGAATAGGAATGACCTGTAGAAGCTGAGAGGCTACCACTTCAAGCTGCTGGAAGTAGCTCTAAGTCCAGACAATGTCCCATTTACTACTCTCACTCCTAACAGCTACTCTAATCTCATCTACTCTAAGGAAGTGCTTCTCAAACTTCAATATTCGTATGAATCACCTGGACAGCTTATTAACACGCAGATTCTGATTCAGTAGATCAAGGGGGGGAAAGAAAACAAAAACCCAAACCCATTGCCGTTAAGTTGATTCCAACTGATAGCGACCCTATAGGACAGAGAAGAACTGCCCCATAGGGTATCCAAGGACAGACTGGATTCGAACTGCTGACCTTCTGGTCAGCATCCATAGCTTTTAAACACTGTGCCACCAGGGCTCCTAAAATTCTGCATTTCTAACAGACTCCCAGGTGATGCTGCTGGTCCTCAGATGACCCAGGTTCTAAAGAACCTGAAAGAGTAGGTGTGAGTACCCTCTGAGCAGAGGGGGAGGCTGAGGGGGAAAAGGCTTAATTCCAGGGAACATCCAGATTCAGGAAAAGAATCCAAGCTGCTCCCCTCTCCAGTGCCCAAACTGATAAGCAAAAGCAGATAGGGAAGAGACCTGAACTAGACTAGAAATAAACTGGAAGAAGAACCTATCTCTTCCATCTCTCTGAAGCCCTTAGTCCTATCACCCCGTTTTCTCTCCATTAACATCTTTTTGACTTCACTTCCTATTGTCCTCTGTGGCTAGACTCCAGAATGTCCATCTGTCCTTCAAAATCCAGTCCATCCAACCATCTGACTTCTCCACTTTCTAAACCAAAGCTCTTGAATATCACTAGATAAAAATACTCAAAATGTAGAGTGGGAACAATTGTAAACACGTAGTTTCAAACCCAATCGGATTTTTTCATGTCTTTCATAGACTGTCGAACTTTCTCCCCAGAGCCCGTTTCTACCTATCAGAAAGTAACTCTGATATCTCTGAAAAGAGTACAGAAAGTCCACTCTCAAGTTCCCAGACATACACAGAAACATTTATATATGTACTCATCTTTTCCTTCTTCTTTCCTGTCACCACTGAAGTGTCCCTTCCATATATATTTTTTAAAGATATCAAAATATGTTCAATTTTACTCATTAAAAACACAATTTAAAATTAGACCAAGATATAATTTTTCATCTGTCAGAATGCCAAAGATCAAAAAATTTTACATACTGGATTGGTGCAGGCATGGGGAACAGAACCTCTGATATCTTGCTGATTAAGTATAAATTAGTACAACTTAAAAAAAAAAAAGGCAAAATCTCAAAATTTAAAAATGTATTGTGCCAGCAATTCTACTCCTAAGAATTTATCTTACAGATACACTCATGAGTGCAAAAATGTATCTATATATAATAATATTCAATGTAGTTTTGTTTTTGTAGTGAAAGTTTAGACACAACCTAAATGTGGCTCAATAGATTTGTTAAGTAAGTTATAATACATCCATTCAATGGAATACCTATGGGGCTATGCAAAAGATTAAGGCAGATCTGTAGGTACTGATAAGTATCAGTCCCCAAAATATTTTTCCCCCAGTGGAAAAAAGCAAGTTCCAGAACAAGGTATATAGGACCCCATATTTTATAGATTTTTAAAAATGCTATATATGCATATAAGCTTGTACATGCATAGAAAAATCTCTGGAAACATATTTAGGAATAGTAACAATGGATGCCCCTGGGGAAAGACACTGGGGGACTGGAGAGCAGGGTAATAAGAAGACATTTTTCACTGCTATTCTTTTTGTAATATTTGGATGTTTTTACATTATACATATAGTTTTCAAATAATAAAATAATTCTAAAAAAGAAATATTGTTTTTTGTGTCTAAGACTAATCCCTCCAACTGTGTATCCTGTAATGTCCTCCTCAGCAAAAATATTCAACCCTCATTCCTCCTCTCTCTGTCCTATACCTTTAACCTCTCCTTTTCCATGGGCTCTATTTCTCCTCAGTCTATAAATATGTCCATGTTTCACTTCTAAAAAGTCTTCATTTACTTATTTCAACAAATATTAAAATGTTCAAGGCACTGTGCTTGACCCCTATAGTCCTCTCTAGTCAACATATTTCCTCTCTCCCTACTTCACTACCACGTTTCTGGAAAAAGCTCTCTGCTCTCACTATTCCTACCACCTCACCTCCCATTATTCCTTAATTCATTGCAGTTAGATTATTAGCCTAACTACGCTACTGAAACTGGTCTGGCAAAAGCCACTAATTATCTCCTAATAACCACATCCAATGACATTTTTCAGCATTTACCTTACTTTACTTTTTCTGGCATCTGAAAATGCTAGCCATCTCCTCTTCGAAAGCTTTCTTGGGACTTGGTAATATCACCCTCTCCAGGTTTTTTCTTTTACCTGTCTGGCCCCTATTTCAAAATTCTGAGACTCAGGAAAGAGAAGATCCCTAGGCTTGGTGGCTTAGATGTGGATCACTTACCGGTTGACTCTGCGGGGACACTTATCCGGCTTGATGTCCACCTCGTAGTGGTAGACGTCGATCTTAGGGATGTCCACTTCAAAGTAATTGGCCAGGAGCTTGATTGGTTTCCCCACAGTGCCAATGCCAGGCCGGCGAGGCGCCTGGAACACCTGCTGCAGGGGGGGCAGGTAGGCGCCTGCAGCTATAAGACAAAGAGCCTGGTAAGGCCTGAATCTGGCAACCTCCTCTTCACCACTCTGACCAGAGAAGGCACAGGTCTGCCAGAACAGGAACAGGAGAGCATAAAGGAAGCCTCTTTCCTACCTACCCAGCTGAAGGTTTCCACTAGCTCAGACATCTCAGGCTCATTCTTTTTTTTTTTTTTTTTAAAGAAAAAAAAAAAAACCTCTCTCCAGTCAGGAAAATTATCCCTGTTGTCTATCTTAAATTCATCAAGTGGATACGCAATAAGTTCCTATTACATGTTAGGCAAAGAGGCTAAATCTGGTTCCCAGAAACAAAACCTTTTCTTCTTTCTACTAGATTAAGACATTTGCCCCTACCAGGTGTCTAGCAGAAGACCAAGAATGCCCTCTTCCACCGAGATTTTCTTCTCACTCATCACCACCCTAAATGTAAAATGGCATCATCTTTTAATGCTCCTCTACAATGTGGGCAGGAGTAAGAGCCAAAGGAGTCCAGGTTAGGGTGAGGGGTGGTATCTGAGACAAGACTAAGGCAACTAAGAGGCTAGAGTTAGAGAAATAGAAAAAAAAAAAAAAAAAAAAAAAGTTGAATTGGAAGCCAGGGGAAGGAGAGAAGGCTGAAGTTAGGGGCTGAGGCAAGATAGGTTAGAGTTGAGAATTAGGGCAGGAAGCAAGGCTGCAATGGAGGAAACTAATGAAGAAAAAGCTCAAACAAATAACAGCTGGGGAACAAAGACAGGCCAAATACAGGAGACTGAGGCAAGAGGAGGCAAGAATTAGGGGCTTTGGGGAAGGAGAGGCAGCAATGAGAATGCTGGAAAAGGGGAAGACACGGGCTCTGGGAAGGAGAATACAAAATTTTTGTATTCCCTTCAGTTTATCTTCAGCTGACCCCTTCACGTCCCACAGTTCCTTCCACACAGAGGGCCCAGACAGTATCAGAAGGGATCAATTTTAAGACAGAGGGGGCCCTTGGGAAGGGGCTAGGGCGGGGCCAGCTCACGCTTCTTTCTCCTCTTTTGTCACCAGTCTGGTTGCTACCTCCAGTCCTATTTTTCCAGCTTGAGGGGAAAGGGAGAAAGAAGGAACACCGCCTAAGAGGAGCCTTTGTCCTCAGCTACCATTGTCCCGCACAGTAGAGGACCAGTCCAGGTGGGAGGGAGAGGGATAAACCAGCCCAGAGCCTCCCATTACCAGAGCTCTGCTTTCACAGTCGGCCAGGCTGGGGGGATGGGGCATATCCTCAGTTGGGGGGTCAGGAAGAGGTCAGATCCATTCAGGGGAGGGGCACACTTCCCACAGCTGAGCTGCTCAAGTCTCCTTTAACCACCTGTCAAGCCCAGCCCCACTAGGCAGACAGGGAAATGGGAGGCCCAGCAAGGGCAGACAAGGCCCTCAGAACTCCACTACATGGGGAAGTGAAAGCCTAACTACTAGTATCTGGCCAACTAACCCTGAAAGAGCTGGACAGAAACTGAACACAGACCCATAGTCAGACAGATATACATAGACACTCCCATCGCACACATTCAAACACATACACACAGACCACCTCGACAGCTTACGTTTATACATATACCCCCACTGCCTTAGACTGCACGTTCTTCAAAGGCAGGGACTGTACCTGCCTTGGTATCCCTGTTGACTCCCCAGTGCCTGACAAGCAGGTGTTCAATATACAGATATTAAATGAATGAACGAACACATCCATAGACACACGACAAGCGCATATAGCAGACAAACACTTGAACACCTGCAACTGCCCAGAAACAATTACAAATCCTGCACAGGACAAACATACACCACCCTTGTGCATGTAGCTAGTAAGAGCCACCCTTCCCCTCCCCGAATTCTTAGATTCCATTTACCTCCTTCAGCTTTCCAAACTGAATAAATGTTTGGGGCCTTGGGAGAAAGACATCTCTTAGAGCAGGAGGTTGGTTGGAAATGATGGGGGATGGGACAGATACTCTAGCCTCAAAGCCTTCTCTTCCCCCAAAATTGGACTAGTATACACAAGACTTAGCCTTAGAGCACCCTCTACTCCAAGAATATTCTCGGAAAACAGGGGAGCCCCCACCCTCCTCCACTCCCGAACTTGGGAAGGCAGGGAAAGGTGGTAATCTCTCTCATCCCATCCCCCTGCACGCTTTACAGCTGTACAAAGGCCCCCATTCCACCCCACCCCCAGCTTTTAGTCTGAGAAAGGGAGACACTTCCCTTCAGACCCAGACAGGGACAGACGGCCACTTTGTGATGCAGATGAGGGCCCCACCACAAGGACAAAGCTAGGGCCTTGGGGGAAAGGGGCGGGGCCCTTCCCTGCAGACAGAAGCAAGGAAGGAGGGGCTCTGAAAAGGACACTCCCCCTCCCCCATCCCCAACTGGCCTAGAGAAGGAAAAGTAACAGAGCTGAAAGCCCTGGCTCAGGGCTTCCTTCCCAGCAGTTCAGAGGCCCACATAACCTCCCAGGGAGTCAGACTGCATATTTAAAAGACATAAACCCAAGGCTGGGTTAGCTGGTTGATAAACAAAGGCTAACAGGCCAATCTCTCCAAAAAGAAATCTCCACACATGAGTATACACAGGTTATCAAATATCCACATATTGTGCTTAACCATATATGTTCACACTTGAACATGATTCAGTTCAATTAATAAACATATACTCTGTGTCATGGCCTATTCTAGGCACTTGCTGGTTCCAGAGATAAATCAGACACTGCCTCTGCCCTCAGGAAGCTTCCAGTCCAGTACATGTGCTTAGAACACACCTGAGCATTTGGCATACTTGGGCATAAGCCCAGTGAGGCCAGCAACAATGCCTTAGTTTGTGTGTGTTCTCAGGCCATCTCAAGCCATCACCCTAACTCCCAAGAGAACAGTGTGAACCTGGGAAGGAGGCAGTTATGGGGTCCCTCCATCTGGTTTCCAGACTGAATTTCAATTATACCCTTTAATGAAGCAAAGCCTGTCCTACTAGGCTCTTCCCAAGGCTGCTGCAGACTCCAGACACCAGGCTTCGTCCCTTCCTTAGAACCTTATTTTTTGTAGCAAACAAAAAGGTCAACTTTTCCTGTCACTCCAGAGCCCATTAGGAATTCATCAGGATAAAATCACCAGCAGTCTGGTGTTGGTATTGGTGCAAGCCCTCAGAAATCCACCTGGATCTCTGTGACCCACTCCGCTCCTCTAGTCCTCAGGTTGTGGCAAACAGGCTACAGACTAGAAAACCAAGAGAGCTCCTGAGATGTAGAGAGGTGCCTCAGGGAGGGAGAAGTAGTGACCACTGAAGTCAGTTGCTTCCTGCACTCCATTTCCATACCTTAGGGCCTACAGAGTCTCCGTAAGGTTGTCTCTATTTTCAGGGGAAGAGTAGTCGCTAAGTACTTATAGATCACTGAACAGATGATTTGAGTGAGTTGGTAGAGGTATTTCCTTGAAGGGGGAAGGTTTGATCTAAAAGACAAAGATCTTTCCACAAGAAAAGTAAATCCTATTCCTATCCCCAGACCAAATAGAAGGAGGTGATGAGAGGTGACCTAAAGAATTCCAGGGTCCAGATTCTTCCTCCTCCCATCACAGAGTAAGAGACCTAGGACACAGGAGGTCCCAATACCCCACAGCTCATCCTAGGTGCTCTAGTCTTCTTGGGGAGGCCTGCCTCCATTTCGCCTCTGTCCTTATTTCCTTTTCTCCTGCTTGCATGTAAAAAAGGAGAAGTTAAGGCTATCAGCTGGGACTCAGCACACCAGGGTGCAGGCTAAAATCTCCCACGCTTGCCACTATCCATCGGCTAGCTCGGCAACCTAGAGTCTAATGACATGGCCCTGACAGTGTTTTTTTGTTTTTTTTTTTTCCTTTTGAGGGGGGGCGGGGGGTGATAGAGAGAGGAAAAAGGAAAGAAAGACTATAGATATCCAGCGGGGTATAGGAACCATGAAAATACTGAGGTTCAGGAAGAGATCAGGCTGTCACCTCAAGACACACTTCAATGGAAAGGTCATTATCCTTGGATTAAAAGCTCCAATCTCTATTCAGTATTGGCCCAGAAACCTGCAAAGAAGGCAGACAACCCCTTCCAGGCAGACTTGGTCCTAGCTTGGTCCCTCAATAACTAGAACCTTTTCTAAGGCCTATCTTCAGGGAGGACCCACTCCCACTTCCAAAAACACTGCTTCTGTCTCAGTCTTTCCTTATTCTAGTGGCAGAGAAAGGCACTTTGACAGTTTCTCTTAACCCTTCTTGACAAACTGTGACTGAGGGGCTTCAGGACCAAGTGTAAGAGACCCCAAGATGGGGGAGGGGAGCATTTCCATTTGGCCCTGTTAGCATAACGTTAAGAGAATGCACTCCATCAGCTCGCTCCTTCTTCCAAGCCAAACCGGGACCAAGGGGTAGGGGGACGATCTCCGGCAGCCACGCCCCCACCACACTGGGCAGCCCCTTCCAGATGCCACCTTCGCGCATGCTCCGGCGCCTCCGCTCCGGCTCCCCAGACTCACTGGGGGGAATCCCGGGGCTGGGATTCCAGCCCAGCTCTGGCGCCTTCTCCCTGAGACACTAACCCAGCCCAGCCAGGATAAGCCCCCGCCCCTGGCATGCGGCAGCTCTGGGCCCATCTGTGTCGCCCCCCTCCTCTCCAGGACACCTGGAGCCCGCCCCCTGCCACCTGCCGGGCCTCTCCCTAGGCCTCCTCGGATCTACGGTAGTCTTTGCGTGCGGTCAGGCCCTTCTCCAAGATTACTTCCCACCCCTAGGACTGCATACAGCCTCCTCGTACAAACGGCCCCCATCTCAGGGCTCCCTTCACAAGGTTTTCTCTCCCGGAACTGCACATAGCCCCCTTCACACTGGGCCCCCATCCCCCGAGGGCCCCTCTCGTCACTCAGGAGCCCTTCCCTCACTCGGAAACGCCGCTCCTCACGCGGGAATTCTCTGGTCCTTGGAGCACACACAGCACCCCCCTTCCCGGGGGCCCTTACCTGCTCCCGAGGATCCCGCTTCCATCCCATATACCCGTGCGGAGGTCAGGCGGCCTGGAGACTTTGGAGTCCAGCGTGAGGGGCCTAGGTACCCCGCACTCTAGCTGCTCGGGCTCCCGGGCCGGGCTCGGCTCCCCCCCGAAGCCCGGCCGCTCGCGCCGCCGCCCCCGCAGCCTCCGTTGCAGCCGCCGCCGCGGAGCCTGCGGCAGCTCCCTCTTTGAGCGCCCGGCCAGTTGTCAGTGCGCAGGCGCAGCCGCCAGGCCCAGGGGGCGGACGGGAACGAGTCAAGCGGGGCGCTCCGACGGCAACAAAGGCCAATGGAGAGGGGCGGGGGCACCGGGGACCGGAGGCAGCGGCCCCTGGTGGTCACCCGTCGCCATGCAGCCCAGCGGGAGGGCTCCGGTAGAGGCGCCGAGAAAACCGCGCAGGGGCATCAGTGAGGCTGGGAGGCCCACCCCCGCAGCAGCCTCCGGCCCTGCACCTTTTTCCCAAACAGTCTTCTCCAAACTTACACGCAGACCCTCCTTCACACAGGACCACGCGGATATTACAGGGACCCCACCTCATACCCAGGCCACCCTTACACACTCGAGCGTCCCATCACCCAGGAGCCCTGCCTCCCACCTCTCCTCTCAATCACCCTCATCCTTCAAGCCTCGGCTGCAAAGCGACTGCCTCCGCGAAGTCTTTCTCCGTCCCTAGTCGATGAACTCACTGATGCCACCCTGTCTTCCAGGCCGTGTACTGGGCGCTGAGACCAGAGATACGAAACAGACCCTGCCTGCCCTGAAAGATGTACAGTCTCTACTGCAGCTACAGAGCTCTATCTGCGGTACTTGGGAAGGACCTGCCTCCACTTTCTCATCTACAGCTCACGCCTCAGCTCCGTCAATCTGCTTTCACCCTCTCATGACCTCACTTAAATGACTTTTTGTGCTGAAATCCAATGAATAATTTTCAATTCTTATTTGTCTGCAGCATCTGATATCATCCGTGCCTCTCCTTCCTTTTTGAAATCTTCTACTTGGCTTCTGTATTTTCTGAGGTCTCCATTTGCCAAATTTCTTTTCAGTCTCCTTTGAGGGCCCCCTCTTGCTTTCAAATAATAATAATAATAATAATAATAATAATATTCACCCTACTTCCAAACCCAGCTCTTTTCTCATTCGACTCTCCACTTTCCCCTTGAAGGTCTCATCCACTGTTCTTCCAAATCTATCTCCAGCCAAGTCTCACATTTCCAAGTGTTTGCTGGACAGCTCCACCTGGATAGCCTACCAACACTTCAAATTTAAGGCATCCAAAACTGAACACATCTTTTTTTTTCTTTATTGTGGTAAATATATATATACATATATATAAATATTTGCCAAAACAAACTCTTTCCCCTACAAACGTGCTTATCCTGTTTGCTGTCTCAGTGAATGGCACCTTCATAAAAATGGCAATTCCTCTCTTTCCCTTGCTTCTTGTCCCCAGTCAGCTGTTCACCAAGTCCTGATACATTTACTCCTGAACTGCGCTCTCATGATTCCCCTACCATTCTGATGGTCCCTGTGCTGATGCAGACCCTTATCATATTTTGCCAGAACCACCACATCCTTGCTAGTCACACAGTCTCTTGGCACATTCCTTCCATCAGTGACAGGCGATGAAAGACCCAGCTCAAACATCATTTTCCTGTATATTCATCCATATATGTAATTTTTGATGCCTAATTTCCACTAGATGCTGTTAAAGGGCAAGGAACTTAAGAGACACACTGTCTTAGTCATCTAGTGCTGCTATAACAGAAATACCACAAGTAGATGGCTTTAACAAAGAGAAGTTTATTCTCTCACAGTCCAGTAGACTACAAGTCCAAATTCAGGGCAACAGCTCCAAGGGAACGCTTTCTCTGTTGGCTCTGGAGGAAGGTCCATGTCATCAGTCTTTCCTTGGTCTGGGAACTTCTCTGCACAGGAACCTCAGATCCAAAGGACACACTCTGCTCCCGGCACTACATTCTTGGTGGTATGAGGTTCCCATGTTTCTCTGCTCACTTCTCTCTTTTATATCTCACTATATTAGGTAGTGGCTTAAGACACTACCTAATCTTGTAGACCTCATCAGTATAACTGCCACTAATCCACCTTATTACATCATAGTGAGCATTTACAACACACAGGGAAATCACATCAGAAGATAAAATGGTAGACAATCATACAATACTGGGAATCATGACCTAGCCCTAGGTTGACAAATATTTTGGGGGGACATAATTCAATCCATGACATGGACTACACCAGTTCCTACTCATGAGGAGCTTAATTTCTGACACTCATCATAGCATGCCTTGCTTCTCTCCAGTAAAGGTTCTCAAACAGCTGGTATCAGCATTACCTGGAGGACATGTTAAAACACTAATTGCTGAGTCCTGCCTCCAGTTTCTGATTCAGTAGGTCTGGTGTAGGGTCCAAGAATGTGCATTTCTAGCAAGTTTCAAGATGAGGGTTATGCTGATGGTCTGGGGACCACACTTTGAGAACTACTGCTCAACAGCATAAAGTAGTTGTTAAGAACAAAGATTCCAGAATCAGACTTTCTTGGATTCAATCCCGGTACCACCATTTACTAGCTGTGTAACAGTGGGCAAATTACTTAACTTTTCTGTGTCTTGATTTCCTCCTCTGTAAATTATAAGTGATCATAATACCTACCTCATTGGGCTGTTGTGAAGATTAAATTAGTTAATAAACATCTTAGAACAATGCCTAGAAGAATGCAAGGAAAGTGTTAGCTGCTATCATAATCATTGTCTGCTTCTCACACTATATATTCTAAGCTCCTTAAGGACAGTGGCCATATCCAATGCATCTCTGTCCCCCTTCAGTGCCTGGCAAAAGCTGTGTCTAGAGTGATAAATAAATATGGCTTGACCTGAGTCAAACAGATGGCATTAAAAAATCCTCAGAAACAGCAAGGTCCTTGCCTTGGTGTAACTGAGCTGGGAGTTCAGCATTACAGTATGAGTTTGAATCCCCTGTCCTAAATGTTCACACTTAACTTTGTGGAAAGGACTGGCCATTATTCTGACCCATTTTCAAAGTGGCTAGTGGAGTCAATTCTCACTCTGGCCTCTCAGTCTTTCTGCAGTGTCTCCAGAATCAAGGATTTCACTCTTGGCTTGGTAAAGTGGTACAGTATAAGGGAAATCCAGGTAGCATTTTGCTTTTTATGCTGACAAATTTCTTCCAGTACTGGGGCAGCATGCTTGTCCGTTTTCCCACTCTTGTCAGTTCTGTAATATTCCTTGGACTCGGGCAGATCTGGCTCTAGCAGCATTCTTGTCCATTTCCTACTTTTGCCTCTTTGACTATATGCTGAATAAAACCTTTCTTTCTGCTTTAAAAAAAAAATTCTTCCAGTAATTCTTGATGTACCTTCCCAGAAATCTAACGGCTCCTCTCTGTTTTCCGGTTCAATTCTCGCATCTTAGTCCTTAGCTAACTCACGCCCAAGGGCCTCTGTTCTGTGGGCCGGAGCCCAGGTCCTTCCATCTATATGTATTCTTCACACCCAGAGTTTCCTGGCCCTGAAACTACAAGAACAGCTTGAAAAACACTTGCATCTCCATCTATATTTTCATTTTAATATTTAAAAAAATCAACCTAGGAACAATGAAAGCAATGTAGTATGATTAGTAGATTTAAAACAAATTGTATACTCTGCTATCAGGAAATGAGTGATCAAAAGTTCTTGCATGCAGCATGCCTTTATCTACAATAAACATGTATTTCTTCAATATTTCAGAAAATAGTTTTAAAAATCAGAAATCATCAAAAATGGAGTTAATAAGTACTAGCTGTTACTTTGAAAAGATTTACAAAATTGGTAAGCTTTTTATAAATTGAGGTATAACTGACATATAATAAAATATATATATACAAAATGTATAATTTGATAAGTTCTAATGTATGTATAAACCTGTGAAACCATCACTACAACCAAAATAGTGAACATATCCATTATTGCCAAATTTTAAAACTCACCACAGAGATTTTAACAAATATAAGGGAATTGTTTACATATCTATACGCTAATGATCTGAAACCTTGAGTAAAAATTTTTTTAATTAAATGTGTATGTGTGTTTTCTTCAAAAATGCAAAACAAGGACTCAAAAGCAAGACCTGAGCAACAGCTAAGGACACTGAGAAAGTGATCGAAGTTGACCAAAGAACATCGACTCCAGAAGGTTCACTGTTTAATTCTTCCAACCGTTTTCAAAAGAGAGAATTCTGTTCCATGTTATATGAACTGTTCTAGAGCATGGCGGAAAGGAGAATTTTCCTAATTTGTTCATATAGCAGATAAAGATCCTGATGTCTTAATAGATGATGATATTACGAAAAAGAGATCTCAGGAATATGGATGCAAAAATCACAAGTAAAACACTAGCATACAGAATTCTATAATAGATTTTTAAAAATATGATAATGTCGTTGTTGTTGTTAGGTGCCATCTAGTTGGTTCTGACTCATAGCAACCCTATGTACAACAGAATGAAACACTGCCTGGTCCTGTGTCATCCTTGCAATTGTTGCTATGTTTGAGCCCATTGTTGCAGCCACTGTGTCTATCTTGTTGAGGGTCGTCTTCTTTTTCGCTGACCCTCTACTTTACCAAGCATGATGTCCTTCTCCAGGGACTGGTCCCTCCTGATAACAAGTCCAAAGTATGTAAGATGAAGTCTCATAATCCTCCCTTCTAAGGAGCATTCTGGCTGTACTTTTTCCAAGACAAATTTGTTCATTCTTCTGGCAGTCCATGGTATATTCAATATTCTTCGCCAACACCATAATTCAAAGGCATCGGTTCTTCTTTGGTCTTCCTTAGTTATTGTCCAGCTTTTGCATACATATGAGTCAATTGAAAATACCATAGCTTGAGTCAGGCGCACCTTAGTCCTCAAAGTGACATCTTTGTTTCTTTAACATTTTAAAGAGGTCTTTTCCAGTAGATCTGCCCAATGCAATACGTTTGATTTCTTGACTGCTGCTTCCACGGGCATTGATTGTGGAACCAAGTAAAATGAAATCCTTGACAACTTCAATCTTTTCTCTGTTTATCATGATGTTGCTTACTGATCCAGTTGTGAGGATTTTTGTTTTCTTTACATTGAGATGTAATCCATATTGAAGGCTGTAGTCTTCGATCTTCATCAGTAAGTGCTTCAAGTCCTCTTCCCTTTCAGTAAGCAAGGTTATGTC